CACTATGCAGGGTTGTTGTCTTTCATGGTTTTACCAAACACTCTTCTATCCCTTAAGAGATAGGTCAGGTGCCTTAAATGGTGGTGTGCTAGTTAAGTTTTCCATCAACATGACACAGCATTGATGCACCCAGCAAAAGGGAACACCCGGAGGTTGTTACTAAATAGGGTCCTTGCTGCACCACTATGGCAGAATAGATTACATTAAGCCAGTTTTACCATTCAGAATTCAGCTCAGATGGAGTCTTTAGAATCTCTCAATTCCACAGGGTATGGTGAACTATGTTGTCCACTCCCTAAGTGACTGTCCCATGGCCCATGACACAGTGGGCACACTCTACTGCACTGATGAAAGTACTGTGCAAACAATGGCACCTGTTACAGGTGACCAGGTTAACGGGCCTTTCTTTCTCTTAAATGATACACAAATGCTTTTATGAGAAGACAACCTAATGAAAAATGCCATTTTCCTTTAAATAAAAAAAAATGTCTTTTGGTCTATTTCTATTCCATGGATGACAAGCTTCAAAACCACGGCCATCCCCAGTTAATCCTCATCAGCTTTATCCCCACCAGATGCAGAGACACAAAGCCTGTTTCTGCCAATGGCTACTGAGGAAGTTATCATCACCCGCTAATCCCGAAGGATCTGAATACAATTACATTTTAATCTGAGGGTTTAGAGCAAGAATATAAATGAAAGGCACAGCTTCATTTGTATCCAGCATTCCAGAAGCACAACTTTAAATTTCATTTTGAATTTTGAGGCCCTGCACAACACAGCTATCATTTAATTCAACACGACCTGCGCCAGACCTGGCATAGCAACCACAGGTATGGTCCAATCAGCAAAGCCTGCACAGGACATGCACTGGAACTTACATTTCATAGCACCATCATACCTAAAGCTGCACCAGCATCTCAAACAGCTCCTCAATCCGTCAGCTACTATTCAGCAGATAAGAGGTGATCCAGAAAGCCTGCCATTCACTAGAAAGAAATACTAACTCTGAAAGTGGTAAATATGCTAACTGCCTTGATTTAATCAATAGACATATTTAGATTCACACTGTGCTGTAATTATCAATGGATTATTGATCAATTAAAATTAAAACGAGGGTGTTTAGATAAAACTCAGTTGGTAGGTGCCTATCTTGCATACATGAAACCCTTGTATTGACCCCAACAATATTAATTAATTAATATAATTTATATTCAGAAAGTATCATAATAGCAGGGACTAGGGATATGACTCAGTGGATAAAGTGCTTATTGTGCCACTATGATGATATAAGTTCAGTATCAGCCTCAAGTAAAACGCTAAGTATGACTTAACATGATTGCAGGGTGTAGCCACAGGTTATTGTAAACTTAGCTGGCGGTGGGTGAGGATCCTCAGAGCTCAGTGACCAACCTATCTAGCAGAAATGGTGCATTGCAGGTTCCATGGAGAGATGTCCTCTTAAAAATAAAGTGGAGAGTAATTGAGGAGGCAATATCTCTGGTAATGGTGTACACACACACACACACACACACACACACACACACACACACACACACGAGAGAGAGAGAGAGAGAGAGAGAGGGAGAGAGAGAGAGAGCAGGGGATGGGGAGCTCCTTAGTTTCATGCCAGCTCCCAAATACTATAACAGTTAGTTTTCATTGCCTTGGTTAGTGTTTAAGAAACTGCTTTTCAGGTTGAAACTGTTAGCAATTCTAGATGAGTATAGCCCCAGAGTGCCTGAAAACAATGGAATCTGAAATCTCTTTGGATTCTCCATTTCTGAACTCCAAAGCTAGCTGCACTTGTTAATTTCATCTTGCCACAAAGATAAATAGCCATAGAGGCTTTGCAATCCTGAGCCTCATGCAGAAACATGGCTATTTTTAACTCTCCCCCACAATGAGTGAGCCCCATGCCAGGGGGTTATGCGTTTGTGAACACAAAACCTGAGCCCATTTTTAAGGAACCACACTGAGCCCCTTGTCAACCCAAGGTATGTTTAGACATGCAGCTTTCTATAAAATGAGGACATCAACTACTTCTACAAGCCCCAGTCTTCAAAATCTGCCTCGAACTTTTTCAAAAATTCTATTTTAGTAAGATTACTGGGCCTTCCCAACTAATCCCAAAAGAACCAATATTAAGTGTTTTAGCTATAAATGGGAAACAGGCTGGGAGAAAGGTGTAACCTATCCCTTACAAGACAATGCAACAGCACACAAAAAGGAAGCCTGCTTGCAGAATAAGAAGATGGAAGCAGCTTTCTTTCACCATCTCCGTTTCAACAACTACGAGTTACGACAACCTTTGATTCTTTCATCCTCAAAGCTTGATATAAAATGCCTCCAAAGATTCCCGTTGCCAAGAATGAATCCTGAGTGTTTCCTAAGTACGGAGGCCTTTCACTTCAAAATGCAAGATGGTAGAGGCAAGTCTGTAGGGAGGCCGCAGCAGGAGCTGGCATAAGAATCAGGGGGAAGTGGAAAGCCCAGCATACAAGAAACAGGGATTTGGTCAAAAGGCACAGGCATGCTCCTCTGGAAGCAGAAACGATTTTGAAGGAAGAGGCAAAGCCCTCCTGGTTTTTCCATCAGAGCCTTTTTTCCCCAAATTAGATCCACTAGCAAGTCTTCTGCAGCTTTGGGGTGTCAGTTTGAAAAGTAAAGCAATTGGATATCATCCCTTTAAAATATCATTCAATTAGATCTTTTGTAATACATACAACGCACAAGGAGATAGCCTTACTGATTCTAAAGAAATTGCTAGTGCATTTCATCAAAGGCACAATAATGGAAACATCGATTCACTCCTCACCACAAACATCTCCCTTTGATGCTGCAGTTACCTTAATGCCAGCACTTTTCATTTTCTCTACAAGAAAACAGCTGCCCCCATGCATTCACATCAGAGAGAGCTCTAGCCTGAAATAACACATTTGTATATCAATCCCAGCCACACTTGCATCTTCATTTGCTACTGCAGAGCATCACTCTTCAAGATGCTATGCCACTGGATCACCACCCAGAATAAAGAAAAAACTTCCCTGCATCCCAGAGAGGCAGGGAGAGATGTTTTATGCCACCCCTCCAAATGTTGCTGAAGCTTCATGTCCCTCCTCACGCCATTTATTCGTAGGAAGAAAGGCCATGTACTTGTTAGAAGCCGGAGGGCTGAAGAACAGTCAGCCACTTTCAGCAGAACATGTCAACAAGAAAAAATACCGAAGGAATAATATATCTGGAAATGTGCAGTGTGATTAGGAAAATCCATCAACACCCACAGCCATGCTACACATATTTATTCTAAGTGAAAAAAAATAGTCATCAAGTCTGAGAGAGTTTTGAAGGCATTACCTCCGCAAGCATACTCCATGAGCAAAGGCCCTAAAGTTCTTGGTGCTGTGGAAATGGAGGAAAAGGACACGTGGGATAACACGAGACATACTGCATTTGTTTTATCGACCTCTTGGCCTGAGGGGTCTGTTGCCTCTAACCTAGCTTGCCTCTGTGAAAATATCCTTTAAGTGCTTTGGGCTTCATCTAAATGAATTACCATCCAATAGTTTAACAACATGCAAGTAATGTATTTTTATTTCACTATAGCTTCAATTTTTCTGGCTACAATAAGCATCCAAACTCACAGACTGTCTGACATTTGGCTAAGTCTCTCATACAATATCCACTTGATGCCATGAAAGAAACATATTTGCAATGGCTTTTGCTCTGCAAATGTCATGCGGGTGTCCTTAGGGGACTGCGTAGAGCACCTGGTGCCCACCTTGAGGTTCTGCTAATGAGAGATATAAAGGTTATGTTGAAGTTATTGTTTAAAGGTGCTGACATCACACACACACATTCACACATTCACAGTCACATACTTACAACAGATACTGAAGAGCAACTGTTCTGGGTCCTTAGAGAGCAGAGAGAAGAAACTATTCCAGTTGGGCTATTCTGTGACTATCTCTATGCAAAACAGTTCTTGCAATTATCTTTTCCCTTTGACTGACTGACCTATAATATTATTATATAATGGCTGCCATATGTACTAAGGTCCTGGGAGGAAAGGAAATATAATGAAGAATAATCTAGTGTCTGTTATGAAATACAAGTTGAACAAACATAATAGGTTCAGTTCTGCAGCATTTAAACAGCTATTCAACCATGGGTTCACCTAACAGACATTCAGCAATAAGGCAAAATGGTAGATCCGACGTGATAGACTAGGAAAAGAAAATTACCAGTGCTGTATCCCAGCTTCTTATATTGCAGCTAAATTAGAGATTACCAGATGAGAGCTAGCAACCGCGGGTAAAGATCAGGAGTCCTTTTTAAGAGATATCGAAGTTTCTGAATTATATAGGAGATATTGTCAGGTACACATGGATTTTAGAGCTTAAAAGGAAGGTCGCCGGGGGCCACTACACCTTTAGCTGATTTTCAGAAAATAACAGAAACTTTTTAGAAAGCTTCCTTTACACTCATAGAGAGCAAGATTATACTAAAATTTCACCCAATCAAAACAGGAGCGTATGATGGAATGCAGCCCATACGTAGAACCTGACGATAGCCATTCAAACTCCCGCTGCCCCAGCCCCAAGATGGAAGAATATGGACAAGGACATTGGCTTCCTGCACCTTTGTTTACAGCTGTCATCATAAAACCATGATAATGATTTCCCTCTTACCGATCTCATGGGGGTTTAGGAAAGAAAGTAAAATGATCAAACGTTAGAGAGAGTCATTATAAGACTATGAAATGAGAGAAAGATATCTCCAATACAACATATATATATACATGTATTCAAAAACACATGCACGCGCCCCTATATATTTTGATATAAAGAGTAAGAAAATAAAGTTCATTGCCGAAGACAAAATCAACATAGTTGGAATAATAAAATGTCACCAATTCCTTCTGTGAGCTGAGCAAACAAGTGCTTTTCATAGAGAAGGACACAGGCGACAACGTATCCACATAAGCAGTGTTTGCTCACCTTCTGATCCAAGCTGTAGGCCAGCACCCAGTCCTCCTGCCTGGGATGGAAGAGCAGGCTCTGGATGTAGAATGTGAGCCGGTACTTCTGGTAAGTCGCCCCTTCATCCGAGCTGATCAATATGCTGCTCTCCATCTCAGGGTCACTGAGAAGCATGATCTAATGAAAGCATACAGGAGAAAATAAAGATAGCATTAACAGGGTGAAATGAACATAAGTATTACACACTGTTCTGTTTTCCCCAGATTCACTGAGCTGAAATAGGGTGTGAGACTGGGTCTACATACAAAAGGAGGTTTCGTCTCGTACTATTATCATCTTTGAAGTGATGAGTGTGTGTACGATGGTCCTCCGTCCTTTTACCCCATGTTTTTCCTTAGACGTGGGAAGGGCCCTCCCTTCCCATGGTCTTACACTTTGTTATTCTCATTCTTCACTATGAATGAAAAGAGTGTCAATGATACCTTTGTTAGAGAAATTTCCCAAAGCACAAATCCACAGAGGTCCTTTAGAAAATCCTGCAGCCCTGGGATTGACATCCAAGCCAAGTAAACAGAAATAAGATTATCCAAAGTCTTAGGCATCAGAAAGAGCAAGTTTGCATCTCCACAGTTTTATATGTATTGTGGCATGGGATAGTGCTTCATGGGAAAACAAACTGTGGAACCCTTGTTTTCTTCAATATTGACTAGAGTCTCATGCTACCAAGAGTGCCTTTAAACACATGGTATAAGTCACAGTCCTTTTTTGTTTGTTTGCTTTTGTTTTATATTTTAACTTTTTATTGACTCTTTGTGGATTTCACATCAGCATCTAGATATCATTCACCTCCCTCTCCCTTGCATCTTCCCTCTGCCATTGCAACGCATATGCTCCCAAGATAAAAATAATATTTAAAAGAAAAAGAAAAAAATCTCATCATGCATACTGTAGTGTGACACAGTGAGTCACACAATGTACCCTTTAGTTCACACATTATACGAGCAAGTGACCATTACAATGAGTAATGAGTTCTGGTTCAAGGCTTCTGGTTTTTGCTACACTATATATACTAGGCCTTTGAAGATAGAGTTTCTTACCTGCCTGGTCCCGCTTCAGAATAGTCCCAAATAAGCACTGAGACATATTAATTACTAAAATGTTTGGCCAAGGGTTTGGGCTTCTTATTGGTTTGCTCTGTGTCATAGAGAGCCTACAACTTTGGGTTTCCAAGACTGGTCTTTTCATGTGCTCCAGCATCTCATAGATTCAGTGGATGTTGGGAAGGGCCAACTCACAGACCTGGTTCTTGGTCTGAGTGGTTTCTGGATTGGTCATTGTAGCAGATAACAGTCATCTGAAACACCACACTGAGCTCTCCATCACTGTTCTAGCTCACCTTATGCAGAGATGGCTGAGCCTTTAAAGGATAGGTTCACAACCAAAAATATAAGCTGCACTCTTGACAAGACATTGCTAGGACTACTATTTCAAGCCTTGTCCAATGTAGCTTAGCTCCTACCCTTAGTGCTTAACTAGCATTTACTCACTAAGAAACAATTGCCTTTCTAATGCTTAAACCCATTAGACAGACTCTGATACTCTTTAGTATTGGCAACTTTCTTCATCCTTCCTGAAATGATCTCTTTCTGGAAAACCACCCTCATCTGATTCTTCTTTGTATCTTTTGGACAGTGGACTTTATTAATTTTTCATTTGAATGTTATTGGGTGATCATTCACAAGCCTTTTCTTTTGACCCTCACTCTCTATTACTCTCTAACGACCTTCACTCTCTATTACTTCCCTTGTTTTCAATTGTCACCTTCATTGGATACTGATACATTAAGATGAGTGTCAGGTATCCCAGACTCGTTCTTAGTTGCTGGCCTGTGAACTTAGCTATCAGCAGTTTTTTGATTTAATATTCCAGAAATATCTAGCATACCAAATACCCCATAGTGATGCCTCAGGTCCAGCCACTCTCCACTCAGTTAGTGTTTCCAGTGACCACCCAAAAGAAGCAGTGTGCCAGGACTGATCCTCGACTTCATTTTCTCACTCACCTGCTAAATTCAATCTTGCGTTTTGCTGTGTGTGTGTGTGTGTGTGTGTGTGTGTGTGTGTGTGTGTGTGTTATAGGTATGCTTGGAGGGTATGCCCAGTCACTTACATGGAGAAGACGGATATTAAGTATTTCTCATATTGCTCATCCACCTTGTTGTGAGACAGGGTTGCTCATTGAACAGAAATCTCACTATTTTGGATAGACTGCCTGGCTAGTGAACTCCCAGAATCCTCCTGTGTCCTCTTTCCCATCACTGGAGTTACCAGTCATGCAGCCAGGCTGGGCTTTTATGTAGTTTTCTTACTAGTGAGACATAACTCTATCACCACCTTCTGGACCGACTTCCTGTCAAACCGCAACATCCCAACAGTGTATCTATTTTCTCCTTGATATCTGTGATTATTAGTAGTAAGAAAAATGACTCAGCCAAAAATCTCTGAGTTTCTGTTGTTTGCAGAGTAATTGAATGAGTAAGTGTTTCTATTCCCTGCTAAAATTCTACCCATTTCGGTGTCCTGCCAACTATTATTCAGTCTAATGTTACCATATAGTATAAATCATAAAGGCTGAAATACAAAACAAAGCAACCCCTCTACTCCCACCCAAAACCACAGCTTTATACTTTGGGAAATAAAACTATTAACTAGCATGATTTTTTTAAAAGCAAGTTTTAGAGGAGCCCCTTTGACTCCTGAGATTCACAATTCTCTCTCTCTCTCTTTTGTTCCTTCCTAGCTTCTAACGTAAGCCTATGCTTTTTCTCAAATATTTGCTTTGACATAATTGAGGTAAGTCATCCTTAGTTATCAGCAAGTTTTTTTTATTTAATTTATTTAAATGGATACAGTTCAATAAATTTTTCATTGCTCTGTGAGACATAGGGCAACGATCTTGTGTGGACTAGTAATCACACAACAGCCTCTTCTTCCTGGGAACCCGAAAGAGAGAGCGTGCCCTCGGAAGCACTGAGCTGTCTTAAGAAGACATTATGGGGGGGATATGTGCACTGTTTGCAGAGGTTGAGATCATAGGTAACCGAGTAAGAATGACAGCTTCATAAATAGACTCATCATATCACATGGTATCTAACCGATGGGTTGGCCATGTAGTGTGCAAGGAAATCATTTTCCCTGGTTCAGAAAAATTAAACTGCTTATTTTATTCAGGAATAAAAAGCTTCATGCCTATGATTTTAATTAGCAGATAAGGCCACTATCCTAAATGGACTTTATTTTATAACCCATGAGTTACAATAGTCTATATAGTTTGCCATCAATTATCTTGTACAGTGACTTCTCTTCCTCTAGCTCTGTCTTGTTCTCTGTGCTCATGTTTGCACACATAAGCACACTCTGCACACACAGACACATAGAAGTGTATACTCCAACACTAGCACATGCACAGATCCAGCATACACATATGTATATACATACAGAAATGAACTCAGGAGGCATAGCTCAGTGGTAGTGTCTGCCTATAGGAATCAATATACATATGAGGTACATTGGCAGTGTGTAGTCGTTTTATGGAGATTCTGTTTGCAAGAGTACATTTTTATTGCAACCTTTCTCTGATATTCTCTTCGGAAAACCTTTTCTATACTGGGATATCAGCAGCTATGTCTCTTTCATGGCTCAGAAATCTCAATCCTGCTTTCTGAGAGGAATGAAAGGAAGGGAGACACAGACCTACATCTTTAACCAGTGCTAGGTATTTCACCTGATATTTTATCCAAACCTTCCCAAAATCCCCTGAAGTAAGTATGCTGATTAGCGTTTTACACAAGGAAACTGAGGCTCAGAAGGGAAGTGATTTCCTCACTACTCCCTGAACTATTGTAACCCTTCCAGCTTCACAAAGCACACAGAGTCATAGACCTTTCTTAAAAGCATGAGTAGGAAATTCACTGCAGAAATAAAAGCAGAGTTAAGAAACCACTTATAACAGAGAACTCACTTTCTACTTCTGACTTGAGTGTAGTGAGATATTTACTTTGTCTCCTTCTGTGGCACTGACCACGCCCATTGGAGGTGGAGCCATAGGCGGAAGTGACCTGTGGAAGGAGGTCTGAGGAAGAGCCTGGGAATGCCCTCTTGCTGGTGGGACTAGGACAGGAGAGCATCGGGTTGAATTTCCTGGTGTTCATCTGTCTAGGTTGTAAGTTATTTCTCCTTGAATAAACATCTATTCAGCCTATTTGTTTATCCTGATCCTTATTTAACCGCGCAATACTCGAGGACAAGAATGCAGTAAGAAAAAGGTACAGTGTTACATGTTGGTGCTGAGAAAAAAACGAGAGCACAGTATCAACATAAGTAAGCGAAAGTGTTGTGCCCCAAGTTAAAGCCACGCGGTCAACTATGCCTTATGCAGTATTATGCCAAATATATAGTTAAAAAACTCTCATGCCACACAATTTTATTGCGAAGTGATGATTTTCACCCAAAGTTATGTGAGGTCAAAGCATTAAGGGGGTCAATGAAAGAGGTAAAAGTGGAAACGGCCCTGTCACATTGAAAGCATGCATCATGCATGCATCGTTCCTCAGAAGAATGTTTAACAGCATCCCAAGGAAATAATCTGCAGACTAGGCATTTGTGGATGAGCCATGAGACTCTTGGTAAAGGTGAGAGAGATGGTCTCAGCAGAAGCAAAGGACCATAGGTTTGTAATTTTTAGTGTGCAGCAGTATGAGCTGTGGGGAGGGCTATAGAGGTGTTTGTGCATTCTGTGTTTGCACGATTCTGACGAGAAAGGGACAAGGAGGGTTTTGTTTTGTCTTGTTTTTCTTTTGCTTCCTCCTGCTTGATTCGTTATCCAGCTTATCCTGACATAAAATCTGCATTGGGGAGCTGAGTATGGTGGTTCATTCCTATAATCCAACATTAGAAAACAGAAGCTGGAGGATCGGGAGTTCATGATCATTCTCAATCACAGAGTGATTGACGCCAGCCTGGGACGCACGAAATGAAACGCTGCCTAAAAACAAAAACAAAAACCTGATGTGCAGAGGATGCTGGAGAAGGGAAGGAGGTAGGGTAGCAAATTATTAATGCCGTAGATGCTCGGTGCAAATGTTTTGAATGCAAATGTTTAGTTTGTTACCTCACATG